TCTGTCTCGCACGTTTTATTTAACTTTGAACTTATTATCACAGTTCATTGCTAGCAGTGATAAGTTTTTGTGTTATGGTCTGTTTTTATTAAACTATAAGCAATAGGTCAACTATATTTGTTGTATGGAAGGATTGTAAGGTGTATATCATCTACATATTTATGTCCTTCTGGCATGCATCATATGACCTTGACCTCATTTTCATGGTTCATTTGTCATTGTTAAGTTTTCATTGTTAACTTTGTTTCTTAGATACTATAAGCAATAGGTCAACTATATTTAATGCACAGTAAGGTATAAATGTCTGTCTGGCAGTGGCATGTTCATCTGACCCTAACCTCATTTTCTTGGTTTTTTGGTCAATGTTTAGTTTTCCTGGTTACATGTATGTCGGTTTCATAAAAACTATAAGCAGTCGGTTAACTATATTTATCCCCGGCTTAGTATATTTCTAGGATTTTGATTGGTTAACGCACGTCGTTACAAAACCAATAGCCCCTGGGTGTGCTAACCCATATACCCGGACGTTGCTAACCATTATCCCGGGGAACTTCACGCAAGTTTTTCTTAGTTCCATGGTTGCTCCTTATGAAATATTGAATTCTGTAGATTATCCTTGATGTCTGTAATTAAATATTTAATTCATTAACGATTTTGTCCTATTATGCCGATCATTTACACTCATTTTTTAAATGCATCACTTGACTACCACATTGTCAAGGAATGGGACTACTGACCTAGCTTTGCAAATGACCCACATTGACGTCACACCATCTATGACTTAACTCTCACAACATTGAACGCAAAATTTGACTCAATCCAGTTTCTCTGTCTCCGGATTAAAAACGTCTTATATTTGACTACCTGTAGGGTTCTACCCTAACCCTACACCCCGTAAAAAATATGTAAAATTTCCAAATTTCAATAAACTTTTTTAGATAATGAAAAAACGTTTTTTTCACGTTACACTTTGTACCCCAATTTCCCTAAAACTCGCCCGATTCGGACTACGGATATGAATGTAGATAACTTATATTGGTGTATTGAATGATTGTAAGGTGTACATGTATTTCCCGTTTGGTTTATCTGACCTTGACCTCATGTTTTAGTTTGTGTGTAAACATTCAATATCAACATGATCAAGACTTTTCGTTATTCTTTATTGGCAATCATACCATACCTCCCTCTTTTTGTTGAGCCCTCGACTTTTGTCTAAAAAGCGAGACATAGCGATCCTACTTTCCGTCGTTGTCGTCCACAAATATTCACTCTGCGGTTAAAGTTTTTGAAATTTTAATAACTTTCTTAAACTATCCTGGATTTCTACCAAACTTGGACAGAAGCTTGTTTATGATCATAAGATAGTATCCAGAAGTAAATTTTGTAAAAAATAATTCGTTTTTCCGTATTTTACTTATAAATGGACTTAGTTTTTCTGCAAGGAAACATTATATTCACTCTGTGGTTAAAGTTTTTAAAATTTTAATAACTTTCTTAAACTATCATGAATTTGTACCAAACTTGGACAGAAGCTAATTGTTTATGATCATAAGATAGTATTCAGAAGTAAATTTAGTAAAAAACAAAAAAACAAAAATGGGGGAAATTCTGGGCATCTGTCCTTCGGGTCTTGTTAGCGCTCTCTCAAATACAATTCTCAGATATTTATAAATCTTTTATCATAGGTTTATTATATCAGCAATGTCTTTGACAAATTTAAAAAAAACGGTGCTGATCATGTATTTTATAAGATTTATGTCCCTTGGAAACATTAATTATATGGAAAATTGCATGGTTAGCCCTCTCATTTGTACAATTCATGCCAGATTTTAATGAAACTTACATATATATATCATTGTCATAATTAGTTTTGACAAGTTTCAAAATCAGTGACAATCAATAATTTCTAAAAGAGTTATGCCCATTGACTATGATAATTATATGAAAAATTGCATTATGAGTGCTCTGAAAGAGTTATACCCTTGGAAATATTTATTATATCATGGAAAATTGTGTTATTAGCACTCTATCGTGTACAATTATTGCTAGATGTTTAAACTTGACGTAGGGATAGTGATCATCCAAGGTGGCGGCTTTAGCTAACTTCTTAAAAGCTTAATATTTTGGAAGGACGTATATATAGCTGGATCATTCATACTTTGCATAAAGATGCTTTATGTTATGAAGTATTCGTCTGTCATATAAAATGTTCATAGTCCTTGACCTCATTTTCATGATTCATTGAAGACTTAAAAAAAAAATTAAGATTTTTAGTACCGGGTATTCATAATTTCTCTCTTATTTTGAGTAATTGGATAATTATTTTTAGGTATACGCGTACCTTGCAAGGTCCTCATGCCTGTCAGACAGTTTTCACTTGACCTCAACCTCATTACATGGATCAGTGAACACGGTTAATTTTCGGTAGTCAAGTCCATATCTCAGTAACTATAACCAATAGGTCTACTATATTTGGTGTGTGGAATGATTGTAAGTTTTACATGTCCTACTGGCAGATGTCAATACAACCTTGACCTCGTTTTCATGGTTCATTGGTTAAAGTTTAGTTTCTGTGTTTTGGTTTGATTTTCTTATACTAGTTACTGTATGCAATATTTCCTAAAGTTAACTATATTTGGTGAATGAAAATATTTTAGGATGTACATGTCAGTCTGGCACGTTTTATTTAACTTTGACCTCATTTTCACAGTTCATTGTTCAATGTTAAGTTTTTGTTTATTGGTCTGTTTTTCTAATACTATACATGTACATACATGTAAATACTATAATTAGCAATAGGTCTGCTATATTTGGCGTATGGAATGATTGTAAGGTGAATAATGTCTGTCTGGCAATTATCATCTGACCATGACCTCATTTTCATGGTTCATTGGTAAATCTTAGGTTTTCCTGGTTAAGCTGTATTTGTCTGTCTGGCGGGGTTTATCTGACCTTGACCTGATTTTTATGGTTCAATGATCAATGTTAAATTTTCCTGGTTAATTTTTTTTCTCATATATATACATGTACTATGTGCAATTAGTCATCTATACTTAAAGCATATATATTTGGTGTATGGAAAGCTTGTAAGGTTTACATGTATTTCTAGTTAGGTTTATCTGACCATGACCTCATTCTCGTGGATCATGTTAAGTTTATGTGATAGTTGTAGTAAAGCTCTATATTTAGGACTATCAACATAAAATCAAATATTAATCATATGGAAACTTGCATTGTCAGCATTATCATGTGTACAATTATTCCCAGAATTTTATGAAACTAATATCATAGGTTTTACTTTATATCAGCAATGTCTTTGACACTTTTGAAAATAAGTGCTGATCAAATATTATTAACAAGTTTTAATACCACTTCAAGGCACTTGGAAAATTAATTATAATGGAAATAACATTACATTTGCTCTGAAGCTTTTATTTCTCCATGATATTAATAAAAAGATTTAAAGAACAAAAAATAGAAGTGCTTTTTGTCGATCCTGGGACTTTTGTTGCAGAAAGCTCGACATAGGGATAGTGATCCGGCGGCGGAGGCGTTAGCTAACTGCTTAAAAGCTTTATATTTTTGAAGGTGGAAGACCTGGATGCTTCATACTTTGTATATAGATGCCTCATGTTACGAGGTTTCCATCTGTCACATGTCCATTGTCCTTGACCTCATTTTCATGGTTCAGTGTCTACTTGAAAAAAAAGTTAAGATTTTTTGTAATGTTAATTTCTCCCTAATTATGAGTAATAGGATAACCATATTTGGTATGCCCGTCAGACAGTTTTCACTTGACCTTGACCTCATTTCATGGATCAGTGAACAAGGTTAAGTTTTGGTGGTCAAGTCCATATCTCAAATACTATAAGCAATAGGTCTAGTACATGTATTTTTGGTGTATGGAAGGACTGTAAAGTGTACATGTCCAACTGGTTGGTGCCATCTGACCTTGACCTCATTTTCATGGTTCAGTGGTCAAAGTTCAGTTTTTGAGTTTTGGTCTTTTTTTCTAATACTATATGCAATAGGTCAACTATATTTGTTGTATGGAAATATGATGTACATGTCTGTCTCGCAGGTTTTATTTTACCTTGACCTCATTTTCACAGTTCATTGCTCAGTGTTAAGTTTTTGTGTTTTGGTCTGTTTTTCTTAAACTATAAACAATAGGTCAACTATATTTGTTGTATGGAAGGAATGTAAGCTGTACATGTCTGCCTGGCATGGTTCATCTGACCTTGACCTCATTTTCATGGTTCATTGGTCAATGTTTAGTTTTCTTGGTTAAGTCAGTTTCTTTGAAACTATAAGCAATAGGTCATCTATATTTAGTGTATTGAATGATTGTAAGGTGTATATATATTTCTTGTTTGGTTTATATGACCTTGACCTCATTTTCTTGGATCATGTTAAGTTTATGTGATAGTTGTAGTAAAGCTTTATATTTAGGACTATCAACATAATATCAATGATTAGCAAGAAGGTGAGACATTTCAGTGTGTGCACTCTTGTCTTGGTTAAGTCTGCTTCTTAGAAACTATAAGCAATAGGTCAACTATATTTAGTGTATTGAATGATTGTAAGGTGTATATATTTCTTGTTTGGTTTATATGACCTTGACCTCATTTTCTTGGATCATGTTAAGTTTATGTGATAGTTGTATTTAAGCTTTATATTTAGGACTATCAACATAATATCAATGATTAGTAAAGAAGGCGAAACATATCAGCGTGTGCACCCTTGTTTTAGTTATTGGCCTTCTTCCTTGGATAGATAAAATATGAGTGATGCGGGGAAAATTGGAACTGAGTATGTTCTTTTATTAATCTTAATGGATGTAGAATAAGTATAGGTGGTAACTTCTATTTCATTTGTTCTCTGGTGGAGAGTTGTCACATTGGCAAGCATGCCACATCTTCTTATTTTTATATAAAGCAGGAGTAACACTATAGCTATTCAAATTTCAATATAGTAATATTAGTTTTTATTATATAAACAGGACTAGGAAAAGTGAAAGAATCATAAAGCAAGGCCAGGAAAATGTAAGTACTTTTTATTGATTATAATGTTTCTTTTTCATTATCTTGGTGGTTATTGTACATGTATTTTATTTATAACCAGTTATACTGGTACATGGTACCTTCTATGTTAAAGGCCCTTTTTATCAGAAATGCTTTTTCCTGCTAAATCATGAATAACAGTGAATTTAAGATGTGCAGTTAAAATAGTAATTTTGTCAGCACTTACTTAAGTTACAGTGTACCTAGACTATATGTATGTTCCTAGGGTTGGCAAAGTATTACCCGTGCGGGAAAAACCAGGTCCCTGTTTTCCCAGGCTGGGCAGTACTAGAAACGGGTAATACTGGGCTAGTAATAATAATAAGTTCTTTATTTTCAGAGAGTTACACAGTTAACAAAACAGTTTAGTTTAAGCATATTTTATTTGCTGAATTAAAGCAAAATTGATTAGACACAAGTAAATCATACTTATGAAGTCTTCTCCATAACACAATATAAAATTACAATAGTAGTATAATATAACGAGCATGCATGTAAAGCAAACAGTTTATAGAATATAATACGAGCTATTATAGGTAAAAAAGATGAGGGAGAGAAAAAAATAGAATAAGAAAGTTTGAAAGGTCATATAATTCTGTGATGATGACGTGAGTGTTAATGATGATGATGTTCCTTGTCAGTATCAATAAGGCTTTATGAAGGCACAAGAAATCTGTTTGACCTTTTGATGAAATTTTGAACATGTTTGAAAATTTGAATATTTTGTTTGTTCGAAAGTTCAAAGTGTCCGCAAATTAATAGTTTTGTATCTAAAACAAAGTTTTCGGAAAGCCAGTTAAGATTATTGAATAAGGTTTTTCTACATGAAGTGTATTTTGGACAAACGAAGAAGTAATGATGGACATCCTCAATATCTGACCCACATTGACAAGAAGGATCATTTATAATATTAGCTCGAAAAAGGTCATAGTTTAAGAATGAAGCGGAGGATCGCAAAATTGCGTTAAGATAATATTCAAATTCCTCGGGCCGTACAAATAAAACGTTTCAACTTTACTTGGCAGACTATCATTTTTCAATTCTTTCTTAAATTTAGAAAAAGAGTCGACACTGCAAATTTTTGGATCAAGTTTGTTCCACTCACGTATTGTAGAGGGAATAAACGATTCAGTAGTAAGGGAAAGTCTGCAAAATGGAACAATAATATCATGACCATTTTGCAACGGATAGATGTACTTTGTACACATGGAGGTACAAGATTACATAGGTACTCTGGTGCATGTTTTTGGTTCAACAAAACAGTTAATCCACCCTGAAGCAATCTAATCTACATACAAGAATACACAATTTTTAAAAGATAATTATACATAATCAAAAGGGTAATATAGCAAAAACTACACTGCATACAAGTGCACATATATAGTACAGGTTAACAATTTACTTAAATAAAAAGTATATTTGTAGTAAAATTGTTTCATTAAAAAAACTTCAAAAAGTTCTCTTCTTGTATTTTCAAGAGATAAGCTTGACATTTTGTTTTAAAAACATTTATACTTTTACTATCCTTCATAGTCAGAGGCAAGGAATTCCACAACAAGGTCCCACAATACATAAATGTTCTTTTACCATAATTAATTAGTTTCATATCTTTGATCTAATATATTATTTTAGGAAGGTGATCTTAATGCATATTTATTAACAACTGAACAACTTAACTGATGAAGAGTTTTCAAATCTTAATTTAAAATGATTCTTGCTGCCCTCTTTTGTACATGTAACTTGTATAATTTGTCAATAATAGTTTTTGAAGCATTTCCCCACTTGGTACAGCAGTAGTCCATAATTGAAGGTATATATCTGTTATAATATAGTTTGAGAACACTATTATATAAATACTGGAAGATATGCTTTTAACATGTTTAGTCTGCAATACTGGGTAATACGATTTTTCAAACTTATTTTTACACAAATTAAAATAGACCTGTTGTAGTTCAATAATATTATAGCAAATTATATACATTTTTTTCTGGATGACCATTTAGAGTCATTCCTGGCCCCCGTACGAAATTATAAGGCGTATTACGCCTGGAAATCTGGCGTAAACCAGGCGTAAGTGGTAGTTACGTGCCCTGATCCAGGCGTAATGGAGCAGGAAACGTAAATTTGTAGTCTTTACGGGCGTAGAAAAAAGTGGTAAACCTGGCGTAAATTGAAATAAGCAAGGCGTAAATTTTCCTACGGGCGTAAAACTGTTGGTAAGGCGTAAAACATAATACCCATAATGCTTTGTTTAAAGGATTATGGGAATTTTTTTCAAAATTTGGCTCTTTGGTATTAGTTTGCAAGAGTATGAAATATGACAGCTTTATATCATGTATATATTCAGGGATAATTAGCTTTTTTGTGTTTTTGGAAGAATTTGAAGTTGGAATTATGGAATCAAATTGATGAATGACAATTGTGAAATAAAAGGAAAGTAGTATACATGGTAAATAATAATTTTGTGAGTAACTAAGTTATTAAGTTTTTATTTTTTAACAGTAATTTTGAATTCTGGAAACCTTCATCCTTGGAATATAACATTAAAATCTTTTACATTAAGCTAAATTGCAGTATTATCATTTATATTTTAGTTCAAGTGACATTAATTTTCAAAACATTAACTTAGACAAAATGCTTGTATTATTTCAAGAAAAAATAATTGTCATAATTCTTATTTAAACTGGAGCTAGTGTTTGTCTAATATTTATTTATCTATATAGCTTCTTCAATGGTTAATATTTCAAGTTTTATGTCAAACAATAAGAAATTAAAGCAACAGTACAAGTTTGTTTCAAATACACAAAGTACACAGCTAGGGTAATACACTGATTTAAATTAGGTGTAGTATTATGTTAGGATATTACGCCTGGTTTATTTTATTGACTAGGCATACTCATTTGCATATTACGCCTGGTTTTCTGTGGACCAGGCGTACTCATTTAAATATTACGCCTAATTTTACCCCTGGTTTCCGCCTCTGTTACGCTTGGTTTCCGCCTGGTATAGCCTGGAAATGCATTCCTTAAACACTGCAATGACGCCCGGATAAAGTATGATTTCTACGCCTGGTTTCCGTGTCATTTCCAGGCGTCACATTTCGTACAGGTGAAGTTTGAAAATTTAATTTATTCCTTTTTCTCCACAAATTTTATGAAGGTTGAATACAAGTTTTGGACATTTTAGGATACCTTGCTTTAAATTTCCAAGCTTTGCTTCAATATTAAATCCAAGTTGAAAAAATGCATTTTATTGCAGTGTTTAATTTATAAGTGAATTGTAAATTTTAATTGTTATGTAAACATATTGATAAATAAACTTCCTAAGGGGACAGGCCATGAACACTTTAGAAATCAAAAGGCTGATTATTGCTATATAAACAAATCTGTTTTATAATTAATCTGAATAATTACTTATTAATTAGTGATGTGCATAAACATATGCTAAAACGAGTAAACATTTTTAGTAATGAACAAAAAATGTTTAAAAGTAATTTTCCTTACATATTTTCCTTAATATAAGTTATATTTATTAAAAAACAAATTGAATTCTTTGACTTTAATGTATTGCATTTGTGATAAATCACTGAATCCTCTTTAAAATTCAGGCCAGTATTTCATATAATTATCCAGTAGTGCCCAGATTTACCTGGTAAAACCCAGTGGCTAATTATATATATCCCAAGTTTTTGGGCACTGTATAATGTTTTTTTTTCTTGCGATATTATAAATGGCAGGTTTTTCAATTTTTACTGTATATAATTTTTGCTGAATGGGAAAACACCGGCGAAAAAAATCAGTGTTATGTTAAAGATGTAAACAAGATAAACTTGTTTCAAAGACATATATAGTTTATTACAAATTAATAGATACCAGTACTCACTACTCAGGGGTTTCAAAATCTTTCATGTTGTCTGGTACATTCCTATTTGTACTTTTCAATATATTCAATGAACATCTAATAAAATAATTCTTGAATTCAGGTGGTACTTATCAGTAGCATAGGATGGTAAAAGTACTAGGTACTGCCTCCTAATGAATGGCCTGAGTACAGTGATTTTCCTAGTGTTAAGGGGAAGGGGACAGTGGCCATGCAATTGGGAATAAAAGATCGTGAATTGTTGGCTTTGGGGAAAATATATGTGTCAGTTGATAAGGAGGGCACACGGCCTATGCCATGTGCAACATGCTATAGGGTTTGCCCCCCAAGAAAATTTTGAAAAATAAACAATTGGGAATTTTAGAGCTGAAAATTGGGAAAAAAGAGCATATTTCTCTTTGGGGTTGGGGCCCAAATTTTTACCCAAAATAAGGGTTGGAAAATCCCTGGAGTACTACAAATTAAATTTCACATAATTAGGATAACTTTCAACATGTCTAAGGAAAGTATATATATATTTGACTTTTGAATAATTATAAGAAATCTGATAAATCAAATGATTGTTCAGTTGCTTTTAATACTTAATGTATTATATTTAAGTGCATTTAAAAAGCAAATTTTTGCAATAGTTAAATTTTTTTGGCACAAACATTGATACTGTGAAAGTACTTTAATTCGTGGGTATCAATTTTCGTGGTTTGAGCAAAAGATACATGTTTGTGAATTTTTAAATTCGTGGATTTTAGTTTTCTAAACAAAATAATAATACTAAAGTGTAGAATTGAAGCCATCAGAAACGAAGACTATTTATGACAACCATATGTAGTTTTTGTCTCGCCTTGAATGAGTCAAAAAGCGAGACATAGGTATGCTGTTTCCGGCGTCGGCTGCGTCAACAATGTATTAGTTTGTGATTAGGTCTAGTTTAAGGTGAACCACTAGTGGTTGGTCAATGATATTTGGTATGCAGTTGTATTAGCACTGGCACATCTCATTTCCATGGAGATTATTTGGCCCTGCCCCCTCAGTCATGGTCTATTGACTGAAACTTGCTTAGTTTACATGTATTAGTTTCATGTGATTAGGTCAGTTTATGTGAAACCACTAGTGGTAAGTCAATGATATTTGGTATGCAGTTGTATAAGCATTGGCATATCTCATTTCCATGGAGATTATTTGGCTCCGCTCCCTCAGTCATGGTCTATTGACTTAAAACTTTTGCTTAGTTTACATGTATTAGTTTGTGATTAGGTCAGTTCATGGGGAAGCACTAGTGGTAAGTCAATGATATTTGGTATGCAGTTGTATAAGCATTGGCATATCTCATTTCCATGGAGAATATTTGGTCCCGCCCCCTCAGTCATGGTCTATTGACTTTGAAACTTTTGCTTAGTTTACATGTATTAGTTTGTGATTAGGTCAGTTCAAGGGGAACCACTAGTGGTAAGTCAATGATATTTGGTATGCAGTTGTATAAGCATTGGCAAATCTCATTTCAATGGAGAATGATTGATAAAATCATCCAAGAAAACCACGAAAATTAGTTCCCCATGAATAAAAGTACTTTCACAGTAGTTGAAATAATTTGATTTAAACGTCAAAATTGAACATCAATATTGAAATGTCCAGTTTCTATAATATATATCCCATGGCCATGAAACTTAACTAACTATCTAATAATTCCCTAAGCTTAGGTCATGCAAAGTTTTATTAGAATTGGTCAAGTCTTTCTATCCTATCAGGTCCAAGAACACAGTTATTGTCCTTTGATTTTCATTGTCTACAAATGTAGTCCCTAGTGTGAATTCATATTTTTTTCATACACTTTCCAAATTTATTTCTTTATATTTTATGCATGAAATATTAAGTGAGGGGATGAAATTACTATGTTAAAAAAAATTGGGTGCTAAATCTTTATGTTAAGTAGTGATTTGGTCCAGTTGAAAAAGGTAAAGAACTTGTATGTCTGAAGCCATGGAAGCTGTCAAACTGAATTTTACACCCCCTTAACATAGAATTATCCATATTTTGAGTTAGAGCTAGTAGACTTTTCTATAATTTTGGTATTATTTGTCCCAATAGTAGTACACTACACTGTAAAAATCTTTTTTGAGATAGAGCAGATGTGATTTTTTAAATTTTAATTTATTGTCTAAAAGAAATGCACTACAAAGTAACTTGTGTTCTCGGGCCATATAATCCTTGAAAGATCGGAAAATAGAAACTAAATGTTGCAGGCCAAACAAGCCTGAAAGCAACCATATACAATGTAATAGAATACATCTGGATGCAGTTTCATTTGTACTACATGTAGCTTTCCTCTTAAATTCAACAATAATTACTTTCAATTGTCTTAGGAATAAAGAAAACTGGTTTGCTGTCAATTTGACAACTCATTTCTTTTTAACATGTTGAATGAACGTATAAGAAATTTGTCACACATTTCTTCAGTACTTATGAACAGAATGACTTCATATTTAGTCAGTAGCTCAACTGTGATATATATGTGTGATTTCAGTTGAAATATGTGAGTGCATTTAATAAATTGAACACTAATAAAATTGAGTTCTTATGTTTCATTAGGAGTTTAATCCAGTGATAGATGCAGAGTTCTATATTAGAAAGCGTGAAGACAAGGAGGGCTTTGCTGTTAAAGAAATTACTCCAGAGATAGGTGAGTTTTATCAGTAATGTTAGTCTTATCATTGATGGCCACATTGTAAAAATCATGACTTCTTTTTAAGGTTCTATATAATTAAAGTAAAAGTTAGACATGCTAAATATCTATACCTAGCTTTATTATAAAGCTAGGTATAGATATTTAGCATGTCTAACTTTACTTTAGGGGCATTAGCTACAATTTAGACAGAGAAATAAAATATGAACTCTGTTTTATTTAAATATTTTGATATTTATAAAAGCTGTATATTGAAATAAATTTTTTTGCTATTAGCTTTGTCTAACTATTGCATTGACAAGTGCCCCTAAACCACTCAACAAAAATTTTGAAACTTTCACATAATTTTCATGATCTTAAACACACATGGTTTATTTTTGCACCTCATATCTGAATGTTTTTTGGGGGCTAACTGTGCAGAAATAGGGACCTGATCATATATATTTGCATATACAATCTCAATATCAACTTAATATCTTAATAACCCATAATCATAATTATTATTGAATCTTTCTCCGAATTTTAACCAAATACAATAATGCTATTGTTCACCTTTAACATGTGTCTAATTTTGTCTCTAGTTTTTAAATTGGTTTTTGGGTTGTCTATACAAAAGTTTGGACATTACCATTGCTTTCATTTGAGGATGCACATTTTGTGAAACCCCATTTCACAGCTTATTGACGCTTTCTCATGATGTTAACCATGTAATGCTATTGAGCACTTCTTAATTTGCTTTTGATCAAATTTTTTTTTCTTTAAAGGTCCACATTGACCGTAATGTACATTTCATATTTTTCTCAACCTATTCATAATGTAACTGCTACATGAATTTTGAATAATAGCCTTAAAAGAAACTTCAGCTAGGCAATGGAAAAATGAATGTTCGTTTCCTTTAACATCATTACATGCCAAAATTATTAAGGCATGCCAGGCAGGAAATTTATTTATTCTATTTTGTGAAAAATCAGTATAGATCTGACCCGGGAACACAGTTATTTCTTAGTACATAGATTTCTTTTAGACAATAAATTCAAATAAAAAAAAATAGCACCTGCTCTATCTCAAAAAGAATTTAACAGTGAAGTGTATACTACTATTGGGACAAATAATATCAAAATTATAGAAAAGTGTATCAGCTCTTACTCAAAATATGGACAATTCTTTGTGAAGGTGGTCTAAAATTCAGTTTGAAAGCCTCAGACATGCTAATTTTTTATCTTTTTTAACTGGACCAAATCACAACTTAAACATAAACATTCAGCACCCAATTTTTTTAACATGTAATTGCATTCCCCTTGCTTAATATTTCATGCATAAAATATCAAGAAATAAATTTGGAAAGTGTATGAAAAAAGTTATACACTGTTCACATTAGGGATTATATTTGTAGACAACAAAAACCAAAGGATGATAACTGTGTCCTCGGACCATCTACATACAATATTACTGTTAACCTGACAGTAAATTCTTTTTTACATACTATATTTTGGTACAAGCTATAAGAAATTAAAGGAATATCAATTGAGCAATGTTGATACACTTTTGAAAGGTTATAAGACAATTTAAAAAATCATCAAAACCAAACCTAAACAAATTGAAAATAAAACAAAAAAAGTCTGATCTCAAACTTTGTTTCATATATATATTTGTACTCCTGATGTGACGAAATTGGTTAATTGATAAGTCAAAATTTCAGTTGTCTGGGACCAAATTTCAAATCAGGATGTTAACAAACGCATTTAAATTGCATCTGTTATCTTGAACCAATACACATATATATATATATATGTCAAAACATGAGCTCATGATTTAAATGGTTTATAGAGTTTTGCTGGCAATACACCTGACAAGTGTAATGAATTAAAATATAAATTCATTGATCACTGAATTTATTTATTTCCCACACTTTTTGACCAAACTTTATCTTTGATTGCTATAATAAATAATTAGGGATACATTGTTGTAGATTATAAAGAAATATTTAAAATCTTTTATAATCAATTATCCATAATTATTTATTACTTAATTGAGAGAGCGATATTTAGCTTTATGAAAAGTGAATATTATAGTTTATTACATATTGATAAAACTTTAGTAGGTTTTTCTATATGATTGGGATTTTGAATAAATAAGCATATTCACCTGAGGAAAAATTATATATTCACCGCGCAGCGCAAAACGTCGCGTTTTGGTAAAAAAAGTTTGATTGTACAATTGGTTTTGGTAAATAATTTCCATTACATACATTACTCTGGGAATATGGATTAAAACAGTTACTGTCTTTTGTTTAGGTAAATATGTGGTTAAATTGACTTTTCATCGGTACAAGGACATCATTCGTAAATATAAATCAACATGCAGACATCTTATACGTTCAGGTATTTCACATCCAATATTTTATGGTAATATTCTTTACAAAGCACAAAAATGTCGGTATTCACCTCAAAAGCTAACCAAACCTTTAAACAGACTTATTCGGAAAGGATATAGTTACGATACTGTTGTCAAGTCATTAAGGATTGCATATTGTGGTATTAATATTGATTCACTCATAGGGTCTTTGAATCGGAAATATAAACACATTTATTCTAAAACCAGTTGTTGGCATGATACAGGTTATGTTCTTCTCATATATTTTATGATGGTATGATACTAAACCCCTAACGGGAGGGATTGTACTTGATTTTCATATGATGAAGACATAATCTTTCAATCAGTTTAATTGAGGTCTGGAGATGGCATGTCAGTAACTGCTAGTAGTCCTTTGTTCATTTATGTATCATTGTCATTTTGCTTAGTTTCTTTTGTTACCTATTCTGACATCAGACTCTGACTTCTTTTAAACTGAGTTTTACTGTGCGTATTGCTATGTGTTTCTTTATTCTACATTGGCTAGAGTTATAGGGGGAGGGTTGAGATCTCACAAAACATGTTTAACCCCGCCGCATTTTTGCGCGTGTCCCAAGTCAGGAGCCTCTGGCCTTTGTTAGTCTTGTATGTTTTTTAATTTTAGTTCATTTATATGTTTTGGAGTTTAGTGTGACGTCCATTTTTCACTGAACTAGTACACAATTTTATTTAGGGGCCAGCTGCGGTCCACCTTCGGGTTCAGAATTTTCTCGCTGCGTTGAAGACCCATTGGTGGCCTTCGGCTGTTGTCTGCTCTTTGGTCAGGTTGTTGTCTATTTGACATATTCCCCATTTCCATTCTCAATTTTAGATAGAGCAGATTGTTACCCTGAGAAAACATTGTCAACTGAGGCAAAGGCAAGGTTTAAAATATCTTTTCAAGGGGTAACAATCTGCCTTCTCAGATATGTGTTATTTAATTAATTATACTGAAATTTCTGTTATTCACTGTCTATCATTTTATAAATTCAAAGTAATAAACTATGATGTCTTGTACATATCAACCATTCCTTTTGAATTAGCGCACACTTGATCAAGCGTCTCAGTGAAACGCAATAGAGTATTTGCTATGAGATAGAGTAAATTATTTGTTCAAAATACTCTCAAATTTGGATGAGTTCGTTTGAAACATTGGCAACACATATGGTGCTTAAAGTTAGATGTCATTTCTGTACCTCAGTGCATTGACAGAGTAATTTATTTTGTCACCGAAAATGCAATTGCATTTTGTAAGGAAATCATACACTGGTTCAGATCATAACACTGAAAGCAACACAAAGCATATTGTTCCACATTTCGCTTTCAAATCCTTGTAAAGACTATTGGCATTAAAGATCTTGAATTCAGATTTTTCCAAAAAGAGCACCTCCTGCCATGGTTAGCAAAATCAATAGTAAATGTGCCTAAGCTTGCCCATTGTAAACATTGAGCTGGATGCTGTTGCTAGGGATAGGACCCTTAGTGTAGGGATGGAGTGCATAAATGATAAAGTTGGTTTTCATTGAGAATGTTTCAAGCAGACTGCGACCACATTCTTTGTCTGTGTTGTCCAATGGTTACCCTTGCTGTCAAGAAACAGTTGCACAAATGTTGTAACTGGATATGGCGATCCATCTAAAGTGTCATCACTCTAGGAGCACCACCAACAGTTCTAGGTCTATTGGAAACACTGTTGCCATAGCTGCTCAATAGTGCTGTAGTGACAGTGAAAATGATTTGAAACATTTCTCATAGACACAGCACTTTGTAACATATACCCCATGCTTGATTCCGCTCTGCATCACTTAGGTGATCGACCCATTAAGATAAACTTTTCAATTCAAATTACGATGAAACTTTGATTTACTTTTGGTCTTGTTATCTTATAGTTTTCAAAGACCAAACATTTTTGTAAACACTTGTCTGCATTTATTGCATGTGCTAAAAACTTGTTTTTGAAATGGTTCACCTTATGAGATTCTTGATTGCACACAATACCTTACCTTTGATTTATGACGTAGAGGTTTTGTTACACTACACAGAAATCTAAAACTAACCTCATAAAAAATTCAGTTATGAAAAATAAAATTCTTCTGTTGTTAAGTATTTTAACCTCATCAAGGCTTAATACCACCAAATCATACTACATGTTGTATGTTACATGGACTGGTTGAATACGAAAAAGGATTGAAAAAAATTATTTCCTTGAATTTGACAGTTGTAGGAAGTATAAGTCCTACTTTTCATTAAATAGTAAAAAGTTTCTGAGTCTTAAACATATATCTTGGGTATTTCAAAGCACCATGCATTCTTTTTTTATTTGGTGTTTCAATATAATATTTTGGAAACCTGAGGTTACATAATGTTACTAAAGCTTGTACACAGGAAAAAAGGGGTGAACATTTGATTGATTAACTACCAGTGATGCTTATAATCTTATATGCAATGAAATGTGATGTAAAATTTTGTCTGAAGTACTCAGGGTTGGTCAAACCCCTGTTTTGTGAGTACTCTGTGCCCAGGATAAAACTTACTCATGCCAAGCATTTCTTTACTTGAAATAAAGATAAATTCTGCAAATTTTTTTGAAAAGTACAAATTTAACA